TCAGGTATACCACGTACCCGTATATTGTTACGTCTACTCCTATTTTCCATGTCATCCATTTTATATAGCATATCCTGGATCATAGTTGATTGCTTGTTAATGATTTTCTGTTGTATATCCAATCTGGAAGAACTTATTTCTAGGTTTTCCTCTAGCCCTCTTACTCTAGCTCCTATATGTGAGATGTCAGTTTTTAACACTTGTATTTCCTCTTTGTAAGTTGTTTCCAACCTAGTTATGTATCTTTCCATGTCCTCTTTGGTAGGGAGAGATCTCAAGTATAGTCCCATATACTGTTGCTCTATCCCCTCCTGCTCCATCCCCACCAATAGACCATACGATTTTGAGTTATCTGCGCCCCGGGTCATATCTCTATTTGTTTCTTCTCTTTTGGCGTAGCCTCAGTATAGGCCTGGGGGCGTAATGGGTGGCTTTGTATGGTTTTGTCCTGAATGTTCTTGCCGGAACAATCCTGGCCATACCCCTTATTGGGAGAGACGAGTGTTGACATCCTATGATCCCCCCCCTGAGAAAAACGTGAACGAGTACCTGTGAAGTACGTCCCGATCTTCGAAGAGGAATTCCTTCACGTTGATGCTGTTAGCTGGAGCTGCTGTGGTGATGGCTGTTTCTCCTTTTTCTTCCCCTTGCCCCCCATCTGTGGGGTCCTTTGAGTAACATGTGTGCCAGGTATCTGCCAAAAATGTCAGTAGCTGTCAATAGCCCGCAGGTCATCAGCAAGTAATCCGCGTATAATTACCAGACCAGCAAGTGATTAGCCCGGGTAACCCTGATGGTGAGTCTCACAGACTATAGAGGCAAGGGGAGAGAGGTGTGGGATGTGGATTCCCGTCCACTACACTGCTGCTGTCGCTCTGCGGGCTGGAGCTGACAGGGCGCCCAGGGCTACAGAAGCCGGGGGAGATAGAAATCCGGTCTGTTACACTGCTACCGCAGCTCTGCGAGTGTAGGCTGGCGGGACGTCCAGGGCGAGCTATTGGGGTGAGAAGAGAGCTGGAGAGGGGAGCATATTCAGCCGTTCGGGTAGAATTGGATTAGGGTGAAGAGTGTCCAGCCCAGGCTTCCGTAGCTTTCGGATCGCATGGTGGGGCTCGTGTGCGGGAGGCGCACCCGTCCTACGTCATCCTAGCCCGCCAAAAAATTCCACTTTTAATGACTTCTGCATTCTCAAAAGTATTCAACCCGTTCATGGCAAGCATCTTTAATACTCAGTAGAGCACCCTTTTTGCTGTTCTGACCTGCTGCAAAAGAGATGCATAGCCAGACACCAGCTTATGGCAGCGTTCTTGCGGAATCTTAGCCCATTCCTCATGAGCAATGGCCTGTAGTTCACTAATATTCTTGGATTTGCGTGCTGCAATCACCTTCTTCAAATCTTCTATAGGGTTCAAGTCAGGTGACTGTAAAGGCCACTGTAGAATCTTCCAGGACTTTTTCTTCAACCAAGCCTTGGTGGAATTTGAAGTATGCTTGGGATTATTATCCTGTTGGTAGGTGCAGTGATGCCCAAGCTTGAGCTTCCTTCCCCCATCAATGGGTTTTGAATCATTTTGATTACAACTGTATGTTTGTAACCACACGTAACACCTAAAATGTACTTATTACAGCTTATCTTGTGCCAACAACAAAAATGTTTGGAGGACCCCCCCCCCACCTTTATTTTCTGGGGGTCTTTGGTCTTCTGTGACATCACAGGTCCTCTTTTTCCTTTGACAGTGGGCAGGAGTTGTATGCTTCAGAGACCAGTGCCACACAATGACTTGGTGGGCACTTGATGACCTGGACCCAGAAGAGGACCAGCATTGGATTGCAGAGCAGTGAATCTGTGGGGGGTCAATATTACAGCGAGAGCTTCATTTGTTATTTTCCTGCAGGGCATTGAATTTTCTATTTTTGAATTATGTTGAATTTGTTCTTTAGAGTAGTAAAAATATGTTGTAGGCTGCCATTGCTGTTCCTCTTGTGAAAATGCTGGTTGCGGTGCTATTATTATTATTATGCTGACCCCCTTGTGCCAGTACTTTCTGAGTCACTGATCCAGAACAGGAATGCATCACAGGTCAAAGTCAAAGAGTCAGATCTTTATCTGCATATTTGTTCAGGGTCAAAGTAAAAACAAAAACAGAAGGTCAACATGATAGCCAGGCTTCAATTATTTGCAAAATGTGATGTAAAGTTGACAATTTGAACTCCTCAATAGCAGCTTCCATGTTCATGACAGTAAATGTTTATTATATATTTACAGTACATACAGTGCTAGTATGGGATAAATCGGCTCAGTTGTACAAGAGCTACATAACACAGCGTACAATCACCTGAATAGCTAGCAGTGTTGTCCATGAGTGTGACTCTGGAGAGAACTTTCATATGTTAATGATGTTTTCAGTCTACACAGTAAATAGAAAGCACAAGGCGACTAACTGAATATGGTTTAGGCCAGGAGTCCCAACACCTAATTATAATCCTGACTTCCAAACACATAACCAACTGGCATCTAAAGGAGAGCCTAGAGTGGCAAAGAGATGAGGTCATCAGTGTGCTGTTTCTTCTTTTATTGTCAGCCACAGGGAAGGAGAGCTCTATGTGAAAGTGAAACTGGAGAATAGGATAAGTAGGGGCACTGCTGGCAGGATAGTGTTGTGTGGCAAAGGTGTGAAAGTCTAAGGATTCAATTGACAGAAATACAAATCCTTTGGCAGGTTTCGTGTGTATTTAATTGTTGCCTAGAGTTAAGACTTAAAGTGATACTAAATCGTAAAAATACATTCAAGTATCTTAACTATTAACAAAAATGTATCTTATTAGTGTATCACTCAGCTGTAGATCCTCAAATCATCTCTGAATTGGTGCTGACACTGTCTTTCCTTCTGGGGGGTGGCTACTTTTGTTCCCCATGGTCCCTGTGTGTGTTGTAAAGTAGCCACCTCTCCAAGATCATTCCCATGATAGACTACAGTCTCAATACAAATTAGTAAACTCTGCTCTCTAAAAGAAAGAAAAAAAACCTTTGTTTAGTTGGAATTTAGGCCTGCAACCAACTAATCGATTAATTTATAATGAGCATAGTTGTCAACTATGCTCATTATCGATTAGTAGGTTGGATCCCCTAACTCTCTCCTCCACGCTGGGAAAAGGGCACAGCAAGCAGTAGGCTATTGCACCAGTCCACTACCTGCTGTATTTACATTCAGCTGCCGTCTAAGGAATCTTATCACTGGCAGCTGTTATTCCCTTGCTGAAACTTTTCAAGCGCCCTGTGCTTACAATACTATTCTTAAAAAGAAAATTATAAAAGGTGTAAAAAAGTCATTTTCAATTTCAGCATGACGAATTCTGCTGCGGGAGGTACGTTGCAGTGCCATTTATTTCAATGGCATCCCAAACGCGCCTCCCATCCACCGTGTGATCGCCCAAACTGGAACGCACAGTACTGCAATGTGATTGCAAAAAAATTTGTGTGATTTTACTCTAAAGTAAACATTATGTTTGTAACATTGCATTTGTGTATTTTATTTTAAATTAAGGATGGTATTTATTAAATTTTTTTATCTGATTAATCGAAAAAATAATCGGCCAAATAATTGATTATGAAAATAATCATTAGTTGCAGCCCTATTGGAATTGATGATATGTAAATACCTAATGTTTTAAGAAAGCCCTACTGTACTTTGCAATGCTTTAGCGCAATGATGTTTTGGTCCCTTTAGTGCGCTTCACCCAAAGCTCACTAGCTATCCAATGCATAGCAGCTGCAATACAAGCAGTAGTGTGTATATGACCTAAAACACAACTATAGCCAGTTTAGTTTTTAAAGAGGGAAAACAGGTGGAACCTCTGACATGTTTTGATTGCTGTCTAAGTCACTGCAGGGGAGATTTCCCTTCACTTCATCACATGCATATTTCCCCATGTCTTATGCCTTTAAAAACACAGTGTTATCAGTCTTGCCTCTGCTGGACTACAGAATTCTGTCTATCCCTGCCCCCTCTGTCCTTCTTCATATGTATATATTGATTTAATTTTCAGCCAAGCAATGCTGTTGACTTGACTCCGAAGAGCCTGCCCACACACTGTTTGCAGGGAAAGGGCTCTAGGCAAATGTAGTTCTGGGGGGGTCATGTAAGTAGGAATTGTTTTATAGTTCTAGAAGCCCTGCTATAATGTCACAGGCAATAAGCCGAGCTTAGACAAGCAAGAAATAAATGCAGGAACATGCTGTAAAGGGAGGTTTGGGGGGTACATTTAGGCCAGGCCTATTCAAATACTTTAAGGCACTGTGTTTTATATACTGTACATCCATATACACCAGACACTGGTCAGGTAACTGGAAAAGATCCCACGGCTGAACAACGTTTCACCAACACAGCAGGAATGTAAGTAAGTGTGTTCATATCCTATGTACATTGGAGACCCCGCAGGTGCCACTCTTTTCTCATGTTCATGCTTAATATACTAATAATTTCTCATTGTTTACAAGTCATCTTGTGAAATCCAGGGAACTATCTTTTACCCATAGATGCTAGTAGAGTCAGTGGATTTTTATTTTTATCGTAAAATGTATATTTCTCAGTCTTCCTCTGTCTGCTTTTTATTTGGGTTGCAGAATGAAATTCCATTTACCTTGTTTGCCTTTCGATAGCTCCTATGGGAAAACACAAAACATTTCACTGTTTAATAGATTCTCTTAACCCATCAGATTTATGAAGGTGCCAAAATTCTGTATACTATGTACTCAGGCCAAATCTACCTATGTAAACTTTAGTTTCCCCATAAGTGTTTAGGATTATCTAACATATTTTACTTTCCAGTCGTAGAATCCAGCAACAGAACACACATAACCACCCCGTCATCCTAATTTACAGCATCCTGTATCCGCTATCATACACTGTGCTTTATCATTTTTAGATGATTGTTAGCTTAATGATAATGGAATCTTTTTCACGTACTTTCCATATGTTCACCTCAACATCTCCTTTCAGGATGTCTCATGTACTCCAGTTTGATGAGAAGAGTCAGAAGGTAAAAGATGCCAACATTCAAGATGAGGACACGTTTGAGATTTACGATCCAAGGAACCCAGTGAATAAGAGGAGACGAGAGGAAAGTAAAAAGCTGATGAAGCAGAAAAAGGAAAGAAGATAAATAATTGAATTCAGATTATGGCCACAACATAATTACCTCTGTTGAATTAACACCGGTCCTTGGGTTAGAAAGGGGTAATATTTGGAAAATTCATTTATATCTTTAGCGGTAAGAAATGTATGACCTAAATTGTCCACTATTTATTTCCACCATTTTTTTATTTTGCTATGAAAATGTACAGCAGAAATAAAGATCAAGATAGGATCACACAAGGATGCGCATAGTTTGTAAATGTTCTGGAGATGGCAGAACGTGCCCACTTTCTGTCGTTATCATACAGAAGAAAATAACATTAAATATGATTGTTGAATAGCAATGATTCTACTCTCGCCATGCCAAGTTATCTCTACAAAAGCATATTTTTTATGAGAACAAGTGTGTAACTAAAGATCAAGCTAATTCTAAAATTGGCAATACACATGGCAATTTTCAGTAAATTTCAACCACTCTACATCCACCAGAAATTGAACATATGTTTGCAAATAATCGCCAGAAACTAAGCCGAGTACCACACACCAGTTTAACGGTCTGCCAGAAATTGGTTGATTGTAAAGCTGAAACTGGGCAATAAATTGAGAGCTTTGGTACAGTTTATTGCAGGATCCAATAAAAAACTATAAAAAAAAGGATGTCCGTTTTGCTGAAAGTGATCAGATTTTTCGCTGGGTTCCGTTGGGGCATTTTTCATCCCATCTCTTTGCAGCTGATCACAACCACCATTATATGCCTCTGATTGCTTTGCGATTTCAACAAAGAATAGAATTGAAAATCTGATCTCTCAATCAAATTCTCTGTCAATTGCCAGCTTTAAAGATAAGTCTGTAAGCAAACCTGTGATGTCCAGATAATTGGCACCTGAGCATGTGGCTATGATAGCCAGTTATACAAACAGGTCTTTGAACAACCCAAATGTCCTGATTGCATATTGATTGCACGGCTAAGCTATTTCTGTTACTGTCCACATGTCAGCTCACTAGGTGTAAATTCTAGATAATCAACTCTTATATGTACTGCTCTGTTGTTATTCCAAGAAAAGTAGCATTATTTTATTAAATTAAATTAATTGTAGAGTTATTGGCTTTGACAACCCCTCAGATTCTTTCATATTCAGGATCAAACCAGAAAAAAAAGCATTTATTACAATTGGGTAACATGGATATAACACCACTTCTCTGTTGTTCATCTGTTCGTGTTCCATAATGTGATTTTGTTGGAGTTTCTAAGTCTGAAACAGAAAATGTATGTAATCCTGCACATCAACCAATCATATTGAAGCTTACATTCTTTGGCTGCCCTTTGCCCTCATGCAAGGGGCTCTTCCAGGGAACACTTTTGTGCCCAGGCCTGTTGTAGTCCCTAACAGTATTTTGGTTTTGATTTTATATCATTGCAGAACTGTGGACTCAGGCCTAAAGGGTTTGTAGGCAACAATAAATTTTGAAGGAGCTATTCCAGACAGGACATAGTTTTACTAGCACAAAATAGTTAATTTCCAGGTTCTAACCTATAGCTGGACATGTTTAAATTTGTTGTAGAGCCCTCTTTATTATTGTCATTGATGTACCTTTTGATGTTTACAGTGTAAAATAAAAATATTGCTTTTAGATCCACTGGCTTTTTGGTTACGGTGTGTACCCACAAATTTAAAGCAGTTATAAACCCATATACATTCTTACTCTATTAGGAGGTGGCAAACCTCTAACAATTTATATAGCTAATTTATAATGCTATTTTAAAAAAAATCATACTTTTTTTATTTTATTATTATTATAATTTAGGTTTAGCAGATCATGTGACCACTTTCTTGCTCTGCACAGCATGGGTTGGTGAGCAGGACTAAGCTCTATGCATACTGGTGACGTTAGGTTATTTACATCCTCACACTGTTTACATGGTTGACTCTGCCGGTCTTGCATGCTGTATTATGACAGCGAGTCTTCCAGGAAGAGCTTCTGTAAATCGAGACGTAAGATTCGCCCCACAGGCGTTATTGTCTGTGACAAGGACACGTAGTCCTATGGTAAAGCCATGTGTAGACTTGGCTTACTTGTGAGAGAACTGGAGGAATGCACACTGATGTTACAATGCTGCACAGACTGGATAAGTGCATATCATTGCCACCAAGAACTAGGAAGTCTGCGTGACTAGGAAGTCTTCTGGTCGAATGTTCTTCAATTGGTTAATTCATAAAGAACAGAGTAAATCAGAAAAATACTGCATTATGGCCACTAGATAGAGCTGGGGACCATATGAAATACATTTTAGTAATGAGATTCAATGTTCCAATTCTAGAAACCACTGGAAAGAATGAACATTTAAATGTAACCATTGCTCCAATGTGAAAGCAGTGCTAACATTACTATCCCCATAGAGGTGTGGACTTTTTTCTTGATGTGGCTGCTTTCCCTGAGAGTGGAGTTTAAAGGATAACTGGTGTCCCACCAAGGACCCCCCCCCCCCCCAATGCGTTTTTGAAACAACCGGCAAGACACCCTCAA